GTCTGCCTTAACTTTTATTAAAGGGGCTCTGTTTTGTGTCAAGAAGACATTTTTTGTCACAGATTAATGGCTCAGGCCAAGCCAAGGGCCGCTCAAAGTTTATGCTGGATTCTATTAAAAGGAGAACAGCAGTTAATGTTGCCGATTTATCACATTTAGCCTTTTTCCCCACTGATGTTTGACCTTAGCTATAATGTTTGGAGGTGTTTCTTGTTTTTCTTTCGTTTTCTGGACCCTTCTTTGTTGTTCTTGCATCTTAAAAAAGAAAAGAATTGTGACATTTCCTTGGTTCTGCCCCACTAGATGAATCCCCTTTTGCAACTTTGGCTAAACAGAACGACAACAACAACGCTTAAAGACCAGAGCGATCAAGGCGGGGAAAGCACTCGCACGCATTTCTGCATCATATTAATTACACGGCTCATTTAATCAAGGGACTGTTATTACCATGGGAAATAAATAATTCTGTCATTGTTCCCTGTCCAGAAGATGTCAACTGCCTTAATAATCTATTACAATTTAGTCTGATTTATGCCGGTGCAGAAAAGGGACACCCAAATGATGAAGGTGCTGGAGCGACTGCCCGGTTAGGAAAGGTTATGCTCTCTCAGGGTTGTTTAGTTCAGAAAAAAAGGCCACTAAGAAGAGACATATAACATTATTGCAAGAGATAGAAAAAATGCCAGGTGGAGCTTTCAATGGCGTGTCTTCTGTCTGCAGCCTATTATGCTTAAAATGTACTTTAAGGATGTTTTTATCTTGTGCTTTTTTCAAAGAATGCAGCTATTTTGTACAACAAAACACCCTGGCTAATTTGCAAAATTACTCACTATTTTCTCTGTGTGCTGTTGCTTGTTGCTTATGTTTTTTGGTTTTATTTTGCTGTAATATGTTGTCTGAGCTTGGCCTCATGTAAGCCACCTCGAGTCCTCATTGGGGAGACGGTGGTGGGGTATAAAGATTATTATTATTATTATTATTATTATTATTATTATTATTATTATTATTATTAAGTAAGGAGCTCTTGGTGACGCAGTGGGTTAAAGCGCTGAGCTGCTGAACTTGCTGACCGAAAGGTTGCAGGTTTGAATCTGGGGAGCAGGGTGAGCTCCTGCTTTTAGTCCTAGCTTCTGCCAACCTAGCAGTTTGAAAACATGCAAATATGAGTACCGTATATACTCAAGTAGAGCCCCCGGTGGCGCAGTGGGTTAAAGCTACTGAGCTGCTGAGCTTGTTGATCGAAAGGTCGCAGGTTCGATTCCGGGGAGCTGCGTGAGCTTCCGCTGTCAGCCCTAGCTTCTGCCAACCTAGCAGTTCGAAAACATGCAAATGTGAGTAGATCAATAGGTACCGCTCCGGCGGGAAGGTAACGGCGCTCCATGCAGTCATGCCAGCCACATGACCTTGGAGGTGTCTACGGACAGCGCTGGCTCTTCGGCTTAGAAATGGAGATGAGCACCACACCCCAGAGTCAGACATGACTGGACTAATGTCAGGGGACTACCTTTACCTTTATACTCGAGTATAAGCCGACCCGAAAATAAGCCGAGGCACCTAATTTTACCACAAAAAACTGGGAAAATGTATTGACTCGAGTATAAGCCGAGGGCAAAAAATGCAGCAGCTACTGGTAAGTTTCAAAATAGAAATAGATACCAATAAAATTACATTAATTGAGGCATCAGTAGAGTAAATATTCAAAAATATTTACATAAAATTGTAATTTAAGATAAAGCTGTCCAACTCTGATTAAACCTTTATTCTAATCTTTGTTAATGTAAATGTGCTTGCATATCCTTCCAATAATAATAAAGGGAGTAAAATAATAAATGTAATAAAAATAATAATAGAGTAAAATAATGGAAACGTAATAACAGTAATAAGAGAGTAAAATAATAAATGTAATAATAACAATAATAAATAGAGTAAAATAATAAATGTTATAATAACAATAAAGAGTAAAATAATAAATGCAATAAAAATAATACTAATAACAGAGTAAAATAGTAAATAACATTGACTCGAGTATAAGCTGAAAGGAGATTTTTCAGCCTAAAAAAGGGGCTGAAAAGCTAGGCTTATACTTGAGTATATACAGTAGATCGAACCAGCAAACCCAGATTCGAACCAGCGACCTTTCGGTCAGCAAGTTCAGCAGCTCAGTGCTTTAACTCACTGTGCTAATAGGTATTGCTCCGGCAGGAAAGTAACAGCACTCCATGAAGTCATGCTGGTCACATGACCTTGGAGGTGTCTACGGACAACGCCAGCTCTTCGGCTTTGAAATGGAGATGAGCACCAACCTCCAGAGTCAGACACGACTGGACTTAATGTCAAGGGAAAACCTTTATCTATGTGTTTAAGTGTGGAGCCCCACGGTGGGTTAAAGCGCTGAGCTGCTGAACTTTTTGACCGAAAGGTCACTGGTTTGAATCTGGGGAGCAGCACGAGCTCCTGCTGTTAGCCCCGGCTTCTGCCAACCTAGCTGTTTGAAAATATGCAAATGTGAGTAGATCAATAGGTCTCTGGCAGGAAGGTAACAGCGCTTCATGCAGTCATGCTGGCCACATGACCTTGGAGATGTCTAGGACAACTCCGACTCTTTGACTTATAAATGGAGATGAGCACCAACCCCCAGAGTCGGACACGACTGGACTTAATGTCAAGGGAAAACCTTTATCTATGTGTTTAAGTGTGGAGCCCCACGGTGGGTTAAAGCGCTGAGCTGCTGAACTTTTTGACCGAAAGGTCACTGGTTTGAATCTGGGGAGCAGCACGAGCTCCCGCTGTTAGCCCTAGCTTCTGCCAACCTAGCAGTTCGAAAACATGCAAATGTGAGTAGATCAATAGGTATTGCTCTGGCAGGAAGGTAACAGCGCTTCATGCAGTCATGCTGCCACATGGCCTTGGAGGTGTCTACGGACAACACTGGCTCTGTGGTATGTAAATTAATTTGAGAACATTTTTTGTTTGAAAAGATAGTAAATTGTGTCCCCATTTTCTCAAGGAAGATTAATTATCTTCCATTTTTTCAAGGAAGTCTGTGACCAACAATTATGGACATTTGCAAAAAGCCGCTGAAAGACCAGGAAAACCAGATCACCTGAACTTCAAAGTCAAGGTGTCCAATGGTTCTCCTGTTCAATTCCTGTTCGTTAAGAGAAAAAATCTGGAAGGAGAGGGGAAACTCATCAGATGTCCTCATTACTTACTCAGAGCTGGATTCTTCCTGGCACATTGGTAATCCTGCTGACAGATTGTGTATTCCTTTTTTCTATACTTTTTTAAAATTCAAGTTCTGCTGTGCATTAAAGAGAAGAATGTCCTTCTCTAACGCAAGCCAGGCTCCAAATATTGTGCTGTCTGTTAGTGTCAGAATCACAACAGAATATAATTTATGGTTGTATCAGCAGCAAAGGCCTTATGATTGGCTATCCTCTTACTATAAGGTAACGGTTTTCCCCTGACATTAAGTCTAGCCGTGCCCAACTCTAAGGAGTGGTGCTCATCTCAAATTCTAAGCTGAACGTAGACACCTCCTAGGTCATGTGGCCGGCATGACTGTATGGAGCGTCGTTACCTTCCAGCTGGATCTACTCACATTTGCATGTTTTATTTTATTTTGTTATGTTATGCATTTATTTTGATGGTATTTTTGCTTTTGTATTTTATTTTGCATGTTAGCCACCTTGAGTCTCCTTTGGGGAGATGGTGGTGGGGTATAAATAAAGATTATTATTATTATTATTATTATTATTATTATTATTATTATTATTATTATTAGAAACACAACAAGATGAGCCCACAGCAGACACTCTGCTGGCTGTTGTATTGGATCACACGTCGGACACTTCCCAAGTGTCTAGGACTGTGTGATGTATCAGTGAATAATGCATGCAGATCCCAGTAAGGTGGCCTTCTGCAGCTGGCAGATGGTAATTTTGTCAGCGCTGATTGTGTTTAAGTGCAGGCCAAGGTCTTTAGGCACTGCACCCAGTGTTCACCACTGGGACCACCTTGACTGGCTTGTGCCAGAGTCTTTGCAGTTCGATTTTTAAATCCTCATATCGTGTCAGCTTTTCCAGTTGTTTCTCTGCAATCCTGCTGCCACCTGGGATTGCAACATCAACGATCCATACTTTGTTTTTTAACATGATCATGAGGTCAGGAGTCTTGTGCTCCAAAACTCTGTCAGTTTCTGAATTCAGAAGTCCCAGAGTAGTTTGACGTGTTCATTCTCTGTAACTCTTTCCGGCTTGTGATCCCACCAGTTCTTTGTCGCAGGCAGATGGTATTTGTGGCACAAGTTCCAATGAATCATCTGAGCAACGGTGTTAGCCTCTGCTTGTAGTCTGTCTTCGCGATCTTCTTGCAGCAGCTGAGGATGTGATCTATTGTTTCATCTGCTTCCTTGCAGAGTCTACAGTTGGAATCTGTTGTTGACTTTTCAATTATTGTTGTTGTTATTATTATTATTATTAGCAGAAGCTAGGGCTGACAGTGGAAGCTCACATCGCTCCCTGGATTCGGTCAACAAGTTCAGCAGCTCAGCGGTTTAACCCACTTCACCACTGAGGGCTCCTTCTTCTTATTGTAGTCTTGGTGATTTTCTCTTCATATCCAGATGTGTATTAATGTGTATTAATACCGGTATATCATATTGGTTACTGTGAAAATAAATGCCATTTTTATAGATCTGATGAATGAACAGAATTGTGAGGAAGGGAGGGCCTTGTAGAGGGAAAGCCTACTGATATTGAGATGGAGAATGTAAGGCTCCTGATTCCTAAATTGGCTAATAAGACTTTTCCTATTGATTGATATAACTTTAATATGAAAACCATTATTTTTCTACATTGTATGTTCTCATAGGTGAGAAACAGGAATGTGTAAACATGTATTTTCTAAATGCAAGACCAAAATGAATAGGATTTCTGAATGCAACACAACAAAATGTAGGTGTGTCATGTAGCTTCTGGTCTCTCTCGCTTCTTATGCAGGTGCTCTTGAGCGAGGACTCAGATAGCGATGGCATTGTGGCTCACTTCCCAGCGCATGAGAAGCCCATCTGCTGTATGTCTTTCAACCCTAGTGGTAAGTTCCTTTTTTGCAACTCTTCCTCCACTACCTATAAAAGCTTAAGTATCCTTTTGAGACACTTTGCGGAAATGGGGCTTGGGGGGCACTTTTTGCAGTGTCTCCGGTCCTTCTTGGAGGATTGCTCTCAGAAGATTTTGCTGGGGGACATCTGCTCGGCTGCGCAGCCTTTGTCCTGTGGTGTCTCTCAGGGTTCACTACTGCTCCCCCCCCCCCCATGTTGTTTAACATTTACATGAAGCCACTGTGAGAGATCATTAGGAGTTTTGGGGTTTGATGCCATCTGTACGCAGATGATGTCCACTGCTTTCCGCCTGCTGCTAAGGAGGCTGTTCAGATCCTGAACCGGTGCTTGGCAGCTATGATGGCCTGGATGAGGGCAAACAAATTGAAACTGAATCCAGACAAGACAGAGGCACTCCTGGTCAGTCGCAGGGCCGAACAAGGTATAGGGTTAGCCTGTGCTAGGTGGGGTTGCACTCCCTCTAAAGACACAGGTTTGCAGCTTGGGAATTCTGGATTTGTTGCTGAGACTGGAACCTCAGGTTTCTGTGGTGACCAGGAGTGCTTTTGTAGTTAAAACTTGTGTGCCAGTTGCACCCATACCTTGGGAAGTCAGATGTGGCCACAGTAGTCCATGCTCTTGTTACATCTCGAATAGACTACTGCAACACACTCTATGTGGGGTTGCCTTTGAAGACTGTTCGGAAGCTCCAAATGGTCCAATGGGCAGCAGCCAGGTTACTAACAGGAGCGGTACTCAGGGAGCATACAATCCCCCTGTTTTGTCAGTTCCACTGGTTGCCAGTCTGCTACTGAGTACAATTCAAAGTGCTGGCTTTAACGTATAATGCCCAAACGTTTCCAGCCCCACTTACCTATCTGAACGTATCTCTCCCTATGAATCTGCTAGGGTGTTAAGATTTTCTGGGGAGGCCCTGCTCTTGCTCCCACCTTCGTCAAAGGCTCGATTGGTGGGGACGAGAGACAGGGCCTTCTCAGTGGTGGCCCCTCGACTATGGAACTCCCTCACAAATGAAATCAGATCAGCCCCCTCCCTCCTGATTTAGAAAAAGGGCGAAAACTTGTTGGGTAGTGCAATATGGATCTGGGATAATGTTGCAACATAAAGGGTGACGGCAGGACTAGGTACTCTGTTTTAAAGTTTGATGATCCTTATATGTTTTATTTGTTTCATTGTTTATTGTGTTGTTTGTATATTGTTGAATTGCGTTATTGAATTGTGCCAAATTGTGTAAGCCGTTCCGAGTCCACTTTGGGGTGAGAAAAGTGGAATATAAATATAGTAAATAAATAAAATAAATATTGGGTTGTTGTAGATTTTTCGAGCTATATGTCCATGTTCTAGAAGCATTCTCTCCTGACATTTCACCTGCATCTATGGCAAGCATCCTCAGAGGTTGTGAGTTGTAAATCAATGATAGATGTCTTCCATCCTGGATTCATCTCAGTTTCCTGGCCAGATATTGACTCTTCTTGATTGGTGTTGACAAAAACAGGACTTGTGTTGACTTCCTTTTTTACATAAGGAATGTTGCAAATATTTCCTTAACTTGAAAGAACCATTGTCACAGTTCTGATCAGAGTTTACTTTTCAGTTGTTATTAGCAGGTTTTAATTACAGTCCAGCAAGCAGGTAGTTAGTCATAGCAGGCCTTAATATTGTACTGGTGACTCCAAAATTATTAACTCCATCCATACATCCTTCCAGCCTTCCATTCATTCCCACACATCATTAAAGTCACATTACTCAAATCTGCATATTCAATTTTTGTGACATATGCTCCCAATTACTTAGCCATGCATGGAGACTGAGAGCATTAGAATCATAGACTCCTAGAGTTGGAAGGCACCTTGTGGGCCATCCAGTCCAACCCCATTCTGCCAAGAAGCAGGAAAAAGCTAGTGTCGTCTTGAGGAGAGAATGAGCTGGCCAAAGCCTGTTAGATTTAGTGGGCTAAAGCTCGTGTCATCCTGAGGAGTGTGAGGTAAACCTCAATGTGAGAGAAGCCTCGTGTGAGAAAGCTCCATTGTGAAGGCTGCTGCGTGTAAAGCTACGATGTATTTGTTTGTTTGTGTTATGAAAACCTAGTTCATAGAATCATAGAGTTGGAAGAGACCTCGTGGACCATCCAGTCCAACCCCATTCTGCCAAGAAGCAGGAAAAAGTCTTGAGGAGAGAGTGAGCAGGCCGAAGCCTGTTAGAGTCAGTGGGCCAAAGCTGGTTTCATCCTGAGAAGTGTGAGGTAAACCTCAGTGTGAGAGAAGCCTCGCGTGAGAAAGCTCAAGTGTGAAGGCTGCTGCGTGTAAAGCTACTATGTATTTGTTTGTTTGTGTTATGAAAACCTAGTTCATAGAATCATAGAGTTGGAAGAGACCTCATGGGCCATCCAGCCCAACCCCCTGCCAAGGAGCAGGAAAAAGCTAGTGTCGTCTTGAGTTAATGGGCCAAAGCTGGTGTCATCCTCAGAAGTGTGAGGTAAACCTCAGTGTGAGAGAAGCCTCGTGTGAGAAAGCTGAAAGCTGCTGTGTGTAGCTACTATGTATTTGTTTGTTTGTGTTATGGAAACCTAGTTCATAGAATCCTAGAGTTGGAAGAGACCTCGTGGGCCATCCAGTCCAACCCCCTGCCAAGAAGCAGGAAAAAGCTAGTGTCGTCTTGAGGAGAGAGTGAGCAGGCCGAAGCCTGTTAGAGTTAGTGGGCCAAAGCTGGTGTTGTTCTGAGGAGTGTGGGGTAAACCTCAGTGTGAGAGAAGCCTCGTGTGAGAAAGCTCCAGTGTGAAGGCTGCTGCGTGTAAAGCTACTATGCATTTGTTTGTTTGTGTTATGGAAACCTAGTTCACAGAATCCTAGAGTGGGAAGAGACCTCATGGGCCATCCAGTCCAACCCCATTCTGCCAAGAAGCAGGAAAAAGGTAGTGTTGTCTTGAGGAGAGAGTGAGCAGGCTGAAGCCTGGTAGAGTTAATGGGCCAAAGCTGGTGTCATCCTGAGAAGTGTGAGGTAAACCTCAGTATGAGAGAAGCATCGTGTGTGAAAGCTCCAGTGTGAAGGCTGCTGCATGTAAAGCTACTATGTATTATTTGCGTTATGGAAACCTAGTTCATAGAATCCTAGAGTTGGAAGAGACCTCATGGGCCATCCAGTCCAACCCCCTGCCAAGAAGCAGGAAAAAGCTAGTGTCATCCTGAGGAGTGTGAGGTAAACCTCAGTGTGAGAGAAGCCTCGTGTGAGAAAGCTCCAGCATTAAAGTTGCTGCATGTAAAGCTACTATGTATTTCTTTGTTTGTGTTAATAAAAGATACAGTATATTCTGGCGTATAAGACTACTTTTTAACCCAAGAAAATCTTCTCAAAAGTCAGGGGTCGTCTTATACGCGGGTGTAGTCTTATGCATGGGAGTCGTCTTAACTCTATATTTTAACTGGAAAAGTTGGGGGTCGTCTTATACGCCCAGTCGTCTTATATGCCGGAATATACGGTAGTTCATAGAATCCTAGAGTGGGAATAGACCTCGTGGGCCATCCAGTCCAACCTTCTGCCAAGAAGTATGTTCAAAGCACCCCCAACAGATGGCCATCCAGTCTCTGTTTAAAAGCCTCCGTAGAAGGAGCCTCCATCACACTCCAGGGTAGGGAGTTCCACCGCTGAACAGCTCTTACATTACATCTGCTCTGGGTCAAGACCTTGCAACCAATATCCATCGAGAACAGACATTAATGCTTCTGAAAAGTAAGGTAATGAGAGATTTCCTCATCCGTTGGATTTTCAGTTAAAACAATGGCTTCCTCCCACCCCCAAATACTTTATTCCTTGAGGTTTCTGCAAATATTTCTCTGAGACTTAACCCCACTTATCCTTTTGCACTTAATGTTTAACCTGGAGAATAAAACTCAGATTTCTTTTTTAGCCTCCTTTTCCACGTTCAGTGTAGCAAGGGGGGGATTATCAGAAAACCATATTTAAAGCCTCAAAGAGAGCACCTTTGCCCCTCTCCTTCCTTCTTTCGGCTGAGAAAGGCTTGTGGGCAAGTCGGATGCATCCTGTCCACGCAATTCTGTCCAGTCGACGGGGTAACTTTGTTTATTATCCTTCTTATGATGGAGTAATAACTTTTTGATTGACTGCTCGGCGGTCAGTGAAAAGGGGCCGGGGAAGATCAAGAGCTTCCGCCTGCCTAAATTAATGAGCCCCAAAGTGAATTAAAATGCCTTGAAGAGCTTTGGGATGAAATCACATCTCAAAGCACAAAAACGGAATAGATGTCCTATCTCAATGGCCAGTCGGACTTGGGGATGACAGCCCATCTGTTATGCCAGAACTCCTTTAGTAGCTACACATGGTTCAGAGCACTATTCCTCTTACTGCTTTTGACAGGGAAAGGGCTATATTTTGTCATAGCATCCATACATGCTGTGAAGTGAGTCTTTGAAGGGTTCGCAGTGGCATCGCCCATTCCTGGCGCCTGATGGTGGTGCAGCAGTTCTCGCCTATGGAAGAAATGGACGCCAGCCTTCTTAATAAAACTCCAGAAAGTTACAATTCCCACTCTCTCCATTCTCCTTGGCTTGTTTACTTGTCACCACATAGGCATGTTAGTCACTTGCAGTATATCAAGTGATTGAATAGAAAGAGTTCACCAAACCTGATTATTATTCATTAAAGGTAATGGAGTTGTGTTGTTGAAGGCTTTCATGGCTAGAATCACTGGGTTGCTGTGAGTTTTCTGGGCTGTGTGGCTATGTTCCAGCAGCATTATCTCCTGTTGGAGCCCCCAGTGGCACAATGGGTTAAACACTTGTGCCAGCAGGACTGAAGACCGAGAGGCTGCAGGTTCGATCTGGGGAGAGTGCGGATGAGCTCCCTCTATCAGCTCCAGCTCCTCATGGGGGACATGAGAGAAGCCTCCCACAAGGATGATAAAAACATCAAATCATCCAGGTGTCCCCTGGGCAACATCCTTGCAGACGACCAATTC